TCTATTATTGTTAATTGTGTATCCAAAACCACTTTTTTGACATCTACATGTTTTTCATATGTAGAAATTTTGGATAAAGTTGAAGTTTGTGTCTGCTATAAGTAGTATTACAGTGGTAGTATATTACTCTATACTATATAAGTATATTATTCTATGCTATTTTTATACTGGCAACAGAAGCGAGAGTAGAATTAATCTCAATATTTCCATTACTCTCAGTGTATTGTGAAAGTCTCACTATAGGTTTTTTTCCCCCCCAGAAAAACATCCTACCCTCCCTTGCTCTGTTTTGACAGGGAACTAATATGAATCTGTCAGTGGATACAGGGACAATACATTTCATCACTTGGAACGTTAATGGACTTAAAGAACAAAGAAATAAAAAATTTAGAGAACTACGTAATGCTGCTGTTGTTTTCTTACAAGAGACACACATCGGGGAAAATGATAATCATATTTTAGAGTGCAGTGAAGATGAGTGGCATATTTTCTTCACAAAGTTTACATCATCCCGAAGAGGAACAGCTATACTTGTTAGGAAAACATTAGACTTTGAATACATCAGTGATGACAAAGATACTTATGCAGGATATATTGTGTTGAAATGTAAACTGCAAGGTCAGTTGTACACACTTGTTAGCATTTATAACCACCAAACTGACACAAAAACCCTTGATAAACTTTCAAGGTACCTGCAGTTAATGGCCACAGGGTTGCTGGTGATTGGTGGAGATTTCAACACTGTTCTCAATCCCTTTATCGACAAAAAATGTTATACCAACAAGGTGACAAATAACCGAACTCAGAGCAAACTGCTTCCCTGTGTGGAAAATTTTATGAAATCTCTTCAGCTTGTCGACATCTGGAGAAGAAAAAACCCTGTAAAGCAGAATCACACATTCTGCAGAGGTGAAACTTCATCACGACTGGATTACTTCTTCATTCCAGAAGAATGTTTGTGGCGTGTCAGAAGTTGTGACATCAGCGATTCGGAGAGACCTGACCATCAGCCTTTGTCCTTGAAGATCAACAATGTCTCCGCAGACACTTTACAGGAACATCTCCAGATACAATCACTCTCACAACTGCTCAGGGATAAAAGTCATTTCGGGATCGATTTATCATTGGTTCAAGAAGGCTCACATGTACTCAGTGAGGTTGACATTGTCTCAGCTGTACATTCTCTTCAGGTGTCAGACACACCAAGACCAGATGGCATTCCAGTTTCCTTCTACAAAGAGAAAATTCAAGATATAATTCCATACATAAAGGTGCTATATGATGGAATCTGCAGTGGCAAATTAAACTGCTCTGAGAAGCGTTTTAATGAATCTGTGAAAAGTCCACATGACAACAGTCAACACTTTTTTAATGTTGACTACCTCATAATCGCAACTATTCTAGCAAGACGCCTAGAAGACTTCCTGGAGTCTCAGTCGGAGGGGCGGATACCAAGAGATTCAATTCCTGTCCTGATCAGTCCCAAAGCCCTCAGCACTCAGACTGTGCTGTGTTGTATTGAGGAAGAGTTAGAAAGGCAACAACATTCAACTTCCCAACTTTTTCCAGCTTTGTCTCAGGACTTCCTTTCTGTGAAAAGCCTTGTTAGAAGCCCTTGTCAGGGCTGCCCTTTGACCCCAGTCCTCATATCTTTAGCACTGAAATGCTTTGCCTCAAAGCTATTTCAGAATTTAGAAAAGCATGTATTTTATGTCTTCAAACAAAGTGTGATAGTCTGCGTCCTACCGGAGGACCTACATCAGGTACATGCTATTGTGAGAAACAGCACTGATGAAGAATATGACATTGTGACATTACCCAGAGGAAATGGTGAACCTTTACAAGAAACCAGCCTGGACAGTGAGTCTGAGATGGAAGACTGGGATACACAGATGGATGGAGCAGAAGAACGATGGCCTAAAAGAGCTGCATTCAAAATGTAATTCATGTGATTAATCACTGTACGGTATATAGAGCAGTCTGTGAGGTTTCACTAGTGTTACATTAATTAATATCAGCACTGCATGATAGTGCATTTAGTCATTAGCATGTGCAATGTTCAATCTCCACTGACTGTGGAAATGTATTTAAACATAGTCATTTGTGTGAAACTGTTTACATTTTCCACTAGGTCAAGCATGTATGCTGTTGTAACCTTGCAAGATTCAGATGAGGTGATGGTGGTAGCATCAAACTGGCTGAACACAGACAAGACACAATGTCACTGGCCCCCATTCAGATCAGCAGAGAAGTACATGCAAGCTGTGAAAGACAGAACTGAGCCTTCAACAGCAGGAAAACCATGGGACATGTTAAACATTCTCTTACATGCAGAATACGGTAACACTGTCTGTTTAAAAATAA